AAAAAAAAAAAAAAAAAAAAGACCAAACAAACAAACAAATAAAGAACTCCATTGAAACTGTAGGGAATAAATTCTCTGAGAGCTGTATCACACAAGCCAGTAAATCATAATAACAATAGTGTATTTGGCAGAAACTTATTGCACGATTCAAGTGTCTCTCATGTTTGCATTGTATATTGATAATTATTGGTTTACATCTTTAATGGCTGCAGCATCACTTCTGTTATTGTGGTTGTGTGTCTTCAAGTTATTTTTGGTCTATGGCTACCATGTCATGAGGTTTTCTTGGCAAGATTTTTCAGAGGAAGTTTGCCATTACCTTCCCCTGAGGCTGAGAGCATGTGATGTGCCCAAGGTCATCCAGTGGGTTTCACGGCCATGCTGGGAATTGAACCCTGATCTCCAGAGCTGCAGTCCAACACCCAAACCACTACACCACATTGGCTCTCAATATCACTGTTGTTCCACTATTGTTTCTGGTGTGATTGTTTTGTTCTGCTGTAGTTGCGATAGCACAGCAGCCATGCAGCTTGAGCAGCCACTGTTTTCATCTCCCACTCACTATCTTCAAGCAGGGAGAAGTCACACAGGGACATGGATCCAGGCTTCCTTGTTGCCTCTTTGTTTAATCAGAAGGTTGTTAACATAGCTCCTTCCTCTTGACATTTTCTCCCTTCTTTCTCTCTGGACCTTATCTCACGGAGGTAAATTGCTTAAATCCCATGCAGAAACGGGATTTAATAATCCAAGAAAATGCCGCAAAAGCGGGTTGTTTTTGATATGTATTTGTGTAAAGGAAAAATAACGTGACATTAATCCAAACAGAAAATTACCAAAACCAGCTCCTTTTTACCTTCGGGAACTTCCAAAAGTAAAAAGGAACAGGTTTTGGTGACTTTCCATTCAGATTAATGTCACATTGATTCTCCTTTACGCCAACGTCATGTGAAAAACAACCTGCTTTTGCAGGTTATTTCTACTTTCTGTTCGGGGTACCCCTGAATGTTGTGTGAAAAACAACCCACTTTTGTGGGTTGTTTTCACTTTAAATCCAGTTTTTGCACAGGATCTGTCCTGTGTGATAAACTCCTCTGTCTCTCTCTCTCTCTGAAGGAACATGTTGGGAGAGGAGGAAAGGGGGTCTCACAGCTCATATATGGCCGGCAGGAGAGAAAGAGACAACACCCATGGGTTGTTAATCCTCTTTAAAAAAACACACACAAATTGGTAAGGAACTGCAGGATTGGAACTGGCAACTTTTGTATCTTGTGGATTTGTGGCAGTTGTTCTTTAATTTTTGGTCGCTGCTGGAGGAGGCATCTCATACAGACAGAAAAAATCTGATTTGTGCCCACGTATTTTTTTTTTACCATACAAAAGTTCACTTCAGACTCCTTGCCTCTTCATTTGTCATGACTCCCTTGGATTTTTTTAGCTCTGAAAATAAACTCTGTATACTTGTCCCACCGTATTTGCGGCTTTGAGTTTTGCAGATTTGATTATTCACAGATTTTATTAATATGTTCTCTCTAGAAATATCTAGGTCCTCCAGCACAACTCTGTGGTTAACTTTAACCAAAAGTCATACTGAAGGACCTAGAGAGAACACACCACTAGCCATCTGTAGCTCCTCCAGTGCAATCGTATGGTCAATGTCTGGAAGAAGGTGACTGCAGAGTTGCGCTGGAGGACCTAGAGATTCCTAGAGAGGAGTTCTCTCTGGTAAAAACATAGTATTTTGTGATTTGCAGTTTTTTCTTATTTCAGGGTTCCTGTTTCCCTAAGGAGGGAGGGGAGATAGGTGACATGAGAAATAAGCTTTTTGTTTGTTTGTTTGTTTTCCTGTGATTCTGCAATTGAAGCAAAAATATTTTTAATATAGCATACATGTGCTAAGTAGGGCAGACATGGGTAAGAAGATGGGATCAGTGAGACCACGTGGAACACCACTAATGGGACTGTGCATCATCAAAGTAGTGCCATAGCGCTATTGCAGATAAATGCAGATAAATTAATAAGCATTAAATTTTTATTGTGATTCTACAATTGAAGCAAAAATATTTTTAAGGTAGCATACATGTGCTAAATTCTAAAAAGTGAGGTGGAAACTGCAATAATAGAAATAGCAAAAAACAAATCACCAGGAACAGATGATATTCCAATTGAACTGCTGCAATCCACATTGACAAAATCAACTCTAGTGCTAACCAACATATGTCAACAGATATGGAAAAGAAAATGATGGCCAACAGATTAGAAGCATCCCCATCCACAAAAAGGGAGACACAAGAGACTGCAGCAACTATAGAACCATAGCACTGATCTCCCACACAAGTAAGTAATTCTCAAAATTCTGAAACCATACATGGAAAGAGAGATCCCAGAGGTCCAATCAAGGTTCAGGAAAGGAAGAGACACTAGAGATCACATTGCAAACATACGATGGCTAATTTAGTGCACTGGGGAATTCCAAAGTAAAATCAGCATGTGCTTTATAGACTACAGCAAAGTGTATGACTGCATCGATCATGAAAGGCTATGGAATGCCCTTAAAGACATGGGAGTGCCAACACATCTGATAGTCCTGATGAGGAATTTGTACTCAGGACAAGAGGCTACTGTCAGAAAAGAACACAGAGAAACAGAATGGTTCCCAATTAGCGAAGGGGTTAGACAAGGCTTCATCCTTTCACCCTATCTGTTCAACTTGTATGCAGAATGTATTATAAGAAAAGCTGGCTTGGACACAGAAGAAGGAGGAGTGAAAATAGGAGGAAGGAATATCAACAATCTAAGATATGCTGATGACACCATAATACTAGCAGAAAACCTCACAGACCTGGAACACCTACTAAGGAGTATCAAAGAAGAAAATGCTAAGGCAGGTTTAATGTTGAACATAAAGAAAACAAAAATAATGACCACCTAGGACCTTCACAATTTCAACCTAAACAATGAAGAAATAGAAATAATGAAAGAATTCCCATACCTGGGATCAAACATCGATAGAAATGGGGACTGCAGCCAGGAAATCAGAAGACTAAGAATGGGAGGGTGTTTGTGAAAGAATGAGAAAAGATTCTAAAATGCAAACATATACAACTCAGAACAAAAGTTAGAATAATACAAGCCATTGTATTACCATGTATGGATGTGAGAGATGGACATTTAAGAAAGATGATAGGAAAAAAAATGAATTGATTTGAGATGTGGTGCTGGAGAAAAGTGCTGAGGATCCCACGAACAGCCAAAAGGACAAGCAAATGGGTCCTAGAGCAGATCAAACTGTAAACCTCCCTGGAAGCCAAGATGACCAAACTGAGACTGTCGTACTTCACACACATCATGAGAAGAGAGGACTCTTTGGAAAAAAACAATAATGCTGGGGAAGGTGGAAGGAAGTAGGAAGAGAGGAAGGCCAAATGCCAGATGGATGGACTCTATTAAGGAGGTCATGGGTATGGGGTTGCAGGAATTAAGCAGAGCAGTGGAGGACAGAAGGTCATGGAGATGTCTCATTCACAGGGCCGCCATGAGTCAGAAACAACTCGAGGGCAGGTAACAACAAACAACAAAACATGTGCCAAGTAGGGCAGACATGGGTAGGAAGTTGGGGTCAATGAAGTCACATGGAAGACTGTTAACGGGACTGTGCATCACCAAAGTAGTGCCATAGCACTATTACAGATAAATGTGATAGTAATTATTTCCATTCCAGTATGTTTCCATTTCCTTAAACAACATGATTGTTGCAAGATAACAGGTTGGTATAATAAAGTCTTTAATCTCACTAGTAGGAAGAAAAGTTTTGAAATTATTTGCATTTCCATGCAAGACTGAAATAAGTGAAGATTTGTATCCTGAGTGTATCACATGCCTATGACTACATTTGAAATATGGATACAGTCTGTTTGCACTGTCTCGAGAGCTCCATGGTCCCAGAGCTATGTTGGCGAGACAGAATATGCAGAGTTTCTCCAGCACTTGATATGGATAATTCCATTTTACTCAGTACTTCGGCTTTTATTTGGTTCAACTAAGGGTGATGTATAGTTGCTAAAAGAGCCAGCATGGCTTAGTGTTGGACTATGACTCTGGAAGTCCAGGGTTCGAATCCTGGCTCAGCCATGGAAACCCACTGGATTACCTTGGGCAAATCACATACTCTCAACCTCAGAGGATGGCAATGGCAAACCTCCTTCTGAAGAATCTCGCCAAGGAAACCCCATGAGAGGTTCACCTTCGGGTCGCCATATGACTTGAAGGCACACAACAACAACGAACAGTTGCTGGGTGCCTGACAGCACTTCAGTTACAGAGATGGAGGAAGGCAAATGAATCTACATCCCTTGAGGTATATAGCTGGATACCAGCAAACCTCAAACTGCTTCTTCAAGCCTGTAGTCTCCATCTTGGGACTTTATCTACAGATCCAATGGCTCTAACATTTAGCCAGGATGATTCTTCTCCCATGTTTTTTAAATCCCAGCCTTTTCAATGATATTTCAGTGTTTGAATGCATTTATTACTCAACCTTGGTTTGTTATTTTACTTGTGGACCATACAGCTATGTTTTTTTTTAAAAAAAAACCTTAACAGCTGGACATAGCAGTACCCTGCAATGTTTAGCTCATCAATATTATTGGCAGGTGTGCTGGTTATAAGCTCCTGACATGGGATCTGACGTGACTTTCTTTTCCAGAGGACGCCTGTTCACTGTCTGTAGAGTTTGTTTATAGTGATCTCTTTCCTCCAAGTTAGCCATCTGTGGAGCTGAAAATACTGACTGCCATAGTGAATCTACTTTGACGTTTCATAAAAACTTTAAAGAGCCACCCAAAGCATGACATCTATTTTGGGGATAAACCGCAGCATCTTGAATACTTCCTTTAACATTTAAAATAAAATTCAAAGTGGAAATCCCACCTCTCTGACATTGGAGCTGGCGCCATGTTTCAACAAAACCAAGAGCCCCATGGTACTGAAAAGAGTTCCAAGAGGGTATGTGATACTCTTTACGTATCTGAAGAACTGTTGTGTATATGATGGATTAGCTTATTTTCTGTTTTCTGCTGCTTCAAAGGTAAGTCCAAGATCAAAGGATTCAAACTTCAGTGGTGCAGGGGAATGGGAGGTATGGCTGGAACAGAAGTAACTTATG